ACACTGTTAGATTCGGCATAACAAATAAATAAATGTGATCAAAGATTTAACAAATCTAATGCACCATACTGTGCAATTAAAGATTACTTCTTGAAATTTTTCAATATTTGAAATTTGAAAAAAAAATAATATTTGAAGAATAATTCTTTTTAATTTCTGAAATCTGAAATGAGAAAAAATTGACCCCCCACAATTTCTTTTTATCCCCCCCCCCCCCTTTTTCCCCAAAAAAATTCTTTCCCTCAAGATATGGTGATAATCTCAATTCAAATTTCCAATGGAGTTGGCAACCATAATTACCCATTTAAATTTACCATAGTGCTAACTTAATCTATTTTATAATAGAATTAATAAAAATATAGTGTCAAATCTTTCATATGGATTTTTTTGTAAAAAAAAATGATGCAACATTTGCAGATATTTTTACTGGTCTTCCTTTATAAATATGCATTTCTTTAAACATAATTTAAAAGCAGTGTAAGGGAAGTAACCAAAACGTTGAATTTGGATTACCTCCCTTACACTGTTTTAAATTATCTTTATTGTTCATTAACCATTACTTTATACATAATTTAAAAGCAGTGTAAGGGAGATAATTTCAATGATGTATTTGATTTATCTCCCTTACACTGCTTTAAATTATGTTTTGTACTAAAGTATTTGTCCTTTAACCAGGACAACCTTGTTTTTCCCCCTTTTTTGCCCCTAATTCCTAAACGGTTTGAGCCATAACCCCCCAAAGCAAATCCTAACCATCCCTTTGTGGTATGGAAACTTGTAGTATAATTTCAGAGAGATCCATACACCGTTCCACAGTTATTGTCTGGAAACTAGAAAATGCTTATTTTTGGCCCCTTTTCGGCCCCTAATTCCTTAACTGTTGGTACCATAACCCCCAAAATCAATCCCAACCTTCCTTTTGTGGTATATAACCTTATGGTAAAATTTCAAAAAGATCCATTCACTTAAACTAAAGTTAGAGTGCGAAAACCAATGTGTCTTCGGACGACGCCGGACGACGACGACGACGACGCCAACGTCATACCAATATACGACCACAAAATTTTTTTGCGGTCGTATAAAAAGCTGGAAAAGTCTCTCATTGAGCTTAAAACAAGTATTGTTCGGAAACAAACATAGTCATAAAAAATGAAATTAAATGTAAAACAAAAACATAGTCAATATCGTTTAAGTTTTAATGATAAAATCTGATTTCATTTGAAAGAAATTTTACCCAATCTTCCAAGTCTGAAGAATTTAAAAAAAAAAATTGAAAATATAATTTTCATTTCAATATTTTTTTCTGATATTGGTAGGATATATACCACGTTAAAACAAATGACTGTACAATTTCAACTGAAAGGAAAACTATCAAGGTGATCTGATTTTGTCTGATATGGACAAGAGTCTATTATATAATATTCAATGTACCTGGCACATTCTAACAAAATTATGCCTGACTGTACAGTTGCAACAAAGGTAAACAATCAAAATGATCTACATTGTTCAGTATATAATAGAAAAACAAAGGATATGGGGTATCCATCCATGACACAAAAACAGTAAATGCACAGCAAAAAAACACATACAAAAAGCAAAGGAACAGCGTTTTTATTGCTGTTTTTCATCTCAATGTCACAGTGAGACCTCAACACTGAGCAAAAAAACTCTCACCTGATCACTGCAAGTATATATTCATTTGACAAATCATAAGCCTTATATACATGTATATATATGCCAACACATAATCTCCTCATTTATTTTATGACATTTGCTATTACATGAATGCCAAATTTTTTTTTTTAAATTACTAAAAAAATTCTGCCCTTAGCCGATATTCAAATTTTGTTTTCCATCAACATGATCAACACAAGATCAATGTATACATCACTGAGATAGCCAGCTAAAATGTAATCAAGATTAATTATCCCAATTATGGAGTGACAATATAGATTCATTGAATTTTTTTCTCCATGTTCTCCAAAATAGTTTAACATCTCAAATAGTTTACAGTTACTTGAAAAACATATTTCTTTTTGTTTTTTAACTGCGATCATTACTTAGTTAAATGACCTCTGGTAATCAAGAGTTATCTTTCTTTGAATAAATTTAAAAACATTTTGATAAGGTACCAATGTACTTAGACCTAGACCTTGACCCTGATGGTATTCTTCTAAGTTCAGTATCACTTAACCACAAGATTATGAAACATCATGAGGTCACATAAATGTAAAACTTCAAGTGCAATGAAGTAGAAGACCTCTAGATAATATATTTTGTGTTTTATTGTGTTGTCTGGTTACTGTCCAATCATACATTTGTAGATGCAACAGATATATCCCTTTGTTCATATATATGATCAAGATAATTTAGACATCTTCATGATTTTGTTGGAATGACATTGTCCCATTCTACATGCATGTAAAATAAGGGTCAAGTGATAATGCGTTTATCGTGACTTTACCAGATTGACAACCATAGGCAGTCAGAGCTCAAACATAAATAGGTCTAATTTTGTTTTTTTTTTTACTCATAGATCGAGAGATTTAAATGTGTATGTTTCATGTATTGTCTCCCTTTAAATTATAACAAAATATGACTTCAACAAGTTAATTGTAGGTTCAGCAAAAAATATTAGACCTTAATCAAAATGTTGTGAAATACTGACTTCTACAAGAGGATAAGTTACCAATTAGGTAACTTTCAAGACCATTACACACACATAATAAAATGCTCCGCTGGGAGCAGCTTGATACAACCGCAGAGGTCGAACCCTGAACAGTTGGGGCAAGTATATATGGACACAACATTCAAGCTTGATACAGCACTGAATTTGGATTGTGATTAAATATTTGACACAGCATAGCTTTCTGACACAGAATGAATGTGGTCTAAGAACTTAAAAATTTTTAATTTACCTATTCAAACCATATCATTATTATTTGCTTTTATATATAAATCAGAAATAACCAATTTAAAATGGAAAATTTTAAAGAAAAAAAAAGGAAAAAAAAATCCCCCCCCAAATTTTTTTAACCCCCTTATGATTCATCACCCCCAAACTCAATCTCAGCCTTCCCTTTGTAGTATGGTACCTTGCAGTACAATTTCAGAGAGATCCATACACTTGAACACATGTTATGGTCTGGAAACTAGAAAAATGCTTGTTTTTTGGCCCCAAATTCCTAAACATTTAGGGCAATTACCCCCAAACTCAAACCCAGCTTTCCCTTTGTGATATGGAACCTTGTAGTACAATTTCATAAAGATCCATACACTTACACACAAGTTATTGTCCTGAAACTAGAAAAATGCTTGTTTTTTTGCCACTTTTTGGCCCCTAATTCCTAAAATTTTGAGGCAATTAGCCCCAAAATCAATCCCAGCCTTCTCTTTGTGGTATGGTACCTTGCAGTACATATTTCAGAGAGATCCATACACTTGAACACAAGTTATTGTCTGGAAACTAGAAAAATGCTTATTTTTGGCCCCTTTTAGGCCCCTTATTCATAAACGTTTTGGGCAATTACCCCTAAACTCAATTCCAGCTTTCCCTTTGTGATATGGAACCTTGTAGTACAATTTCAAAAAGATCCATACACTTACACTCAAGTTATTGTCATGAAACTAGAAAAATGCTTGTTTTTTTACCCTTTTTTGGCCCCTAATTCCTAAAATTTGGAGGCAATTACCCCCAAAATCAATCCCAGCATTCCCTTTGTGATATGGAACCTTGTGGTAAAATGTCAGAGAGATCCATAAACTAACACACAACTTACGTCTGGAAGTTACAAAAATGCTTATTTTTGGCCCCTAATTCCTGAACTGTTGGTACCATAACCCCCCAAAATCAATCCCAACCTTCCTTTTGTGATATTGAACCTTGTGGTAAAATTTCATAGAGATCCATTCACTTAAACTAAAGTAAGAGTGCGAAAACCAATGTGTCTTCGGACGATGACGACGATGACGACGACGACAACCTATGTCATGCCAATATAAAAAGGTCAAGTATCAATTTGAAATTGTGACAACAATGAACAGCAGTGTTTTGTTTTCTGTAGAAAAATATGAACAAGAGTTTAAAAAAAAGAGACAATGTTTATTCACTTTCTAATGCAACAATTTATAACCACTGAAAATGAAAAATATCTTAGATGTCAATAAAAACGTTCATTTAGATCATTACAAATACAATGTACCTTGTAGATAACTCAGATCCTTGTTAATTCTTAGAAAAATGTTTATTGTCACATATATATATATAGATGAAGTACCTTTACCTAAAAGTCAAATAAAATGTTTTCATCCTGTTTTATTAAACCTAAATTGAACAAAATAAATCTGTCATTTGCTAACTTATACAAACTTGTCCATAATTGCAGACAACATTTTTATCATATTAGATAATTTGACTTCTGTAAGTCAGAAACAAAAAAAGATTGGTTTATGTCTGAGCTCTGTCTAATAGACGAACTCTGTTTACGAATATGATGAATTGCAGATTTAGCCAACTTTCGTTCATTTTTCCCAAAGAATTGTTTTTCACTGGTTGCTATGAAGTCTGATTGCAACCATTCAAATCTTATCATATCATTTAATCATACATGCAGATGTATTAAAGGAAAATGTATATGAAACACTATCATGTGACAGTATTTGATTTGATTATACATGTTATAATCAGGTACATGTACATGTGTAATGTACAATTTCTCATGTGAAGCGGCTGCATATTTTATTTTAAAGTTGCATGCATGGTCATGTACACTGTAGAATCAGAGGTCACTCAAGCAGGACAAATTATATAAGTTGTACTCCATTTCTACATCAAATAATCATTTGTCATTGTAATTTTAGGACTAAGAATAAGATTTATATGTGGGGAATATAGTGAAAATAAATATGAAACAACATACTTTTAGACATTGTTGAATGACATGTACATGTATGACACTTGTTTACAATCCTCGTTAAAAAAAATGTAATATGCAACTTACCCACTGTAAAACCTTAATGAAGCCTCTTGGTTCTTTTAGTGGCTCAATACTGAAGCTCATGGCATTCTGTAATTCAAAAAAGATCTTTCAATACACAAAAACTTTTGTAGACATTTATGACATTACTTTACAAAGAATTCACAGTTCCTAATACATGTAGATGTTACCTGCTTACTTTAGCCTAAATTGATTAAAATTAAATGTTAAGTACAATGAAGTAAATTGATGATGATTCTGTAAAAAATCTTGGTTTTGATTTTTCACACTGAACATGCTGAATGCTCACGCCATTGTAGTTGATTCACTCTGATAAGTTTTAATTGACTGCTGCCATCTGACGGTCAGCTAGTCAGTCCTATATTACCAAAAGGATCAGAGTTTTTTCTTTCTTTAAAGACACTTTTGGAAGGCTGTTGATCTACAGGTTGGATTTCTTTTCATCTTTAACAATTAGGTTGCCTGAATTTCATGAAACTGAAAGTCCACATGCATTAAAAATAGAATTACATGTACATGTAGATATTGACAATATTGACAACCACATGTATGTCTTAAAAATGGTCTGGCTAATAAAAACACAAGTTGTTGTATCTCAGTATGACATACATGTACATTTGTACATGTATGTCATTTTTGAACTGAAAAGGGATTTGAAAGATGAAACAATATTTCAATCGAGTCATTATAGTATTCAATGATACATAGATATATGTATATCCTAAAACTGAGGTTTTTAGAAAGTTAAAACACATTGACCATGTTGACAGAAAAAAAATATTATAAAAAGACAAGATGATAAGTTTATTTTTCAATAAACTATTTTGATTTTATTTTGTTAAGAAAAAAACAAAAATGTTTCAGAAGGGAAGAAGAATTAATAACTTGTTTCAGAAGGGAAATAAAATTAATAACTTGTTTCAGAAGGGAAGTAAAGTTAATAGCTTGTTTCCGAAGGAAAGAAAAATTAATAACTTGTTTCAGAAGGGAAGTAAAATTAATAACTTGTGTCAGAAGGGAAGTAAAATTAATAACTTGTTTCAGAAGGGAAGAAAAATTAATAACTTGTTTCAGGAGGGAAGTTAAATTAATAACTTGTTTAAGAAGGGAAGCAAAATTTATAACTTGTGTCAGAAGGAAGTAAAATTAATAACTTGCTTCAGAAGGGAAGTGAAACAAAAATGGCTTGTTTCCACTGAATTACAGGAAACAGAATCTTGTTCCTGTACATTATCATGGTCATGATGGTTATTGAGAAAAATAGTTTTTTTCTTATTAAAATTAACAAAATATATTATCCTTTTAAAAGAAAATTCATCCCCCTCACACGCATACAAAAGATGAATGACAAAGTTCAATAAAATATTTCCTTAAATTTAACAATTTGTGTAAAATTTTATAGATATCCTATTTTGCAAAATGTACATGTAAGCATTTGCATTGTATTTAAATTCTATCCATATCTCTAAACTATGATCATGATTGCAGCTGTTGATTTAATTTAAGGCTTTGATGCTGTAAAAACTAGTTTTAATTTTTTTTTAAATAGGATAAACTTTTAAGTCTTTTGTTAAGCATATGAAAAGTTACTACATAAATGTAAATCTAGTACTTATAAATCAATTTACAGGCCTAATGTAGTAAATGAAGGCTGGTACTGAAAGTTTTTTTTTGAAAGAGGTATCAAATTTCTGATGGCAACGGGTTCTGAGTGCTCTAGACATAATGGTAACACTATTTTTTGTTGTAAACCATCCCATCCAACCAAACAAAATAAAGTGAAAATAAAACAAATTAAATCTACAGCTTACATTTACATGTACATGATGTACATGTATATCAGACACTATCAGCTCACCTACTTTTACATGTACTCATCTAGTAAATTTCATGGTGTGATTGCTTCCATTATCATACATCATTTAATAAAATGCTCCGCTGGGCGCAGCTTGATACGACCGCAGATGTCGAACCCTGAACAGTTGGGGCAAGTATGGACACAACATTCAAGCTTGATACAGCACTGAATTTGGATTGTGATTAAATATTTGACACAGCACAGGTTTCTGACACAGAATGAATGTGGTCTAAGAACTTAAAAATTTTTAATTTACCTATTCAAACCATATCATTATTATTTGCTTTTATATATAAATCAGAAACAACCAATTTTAAATGGAAAATTTTAAAGAAAAAAAAATCCCCCCGAAATGTTTTTTGAACCCCCTTATGATTCATCACCCCCAAACTCAATCCCAGCCTTCCCTTTGTGGAATGGTACCTGCAGTACAATTAAAGAGATACATACACTTGAACACAAGTTATTGTCTGTAACTAGACAAATGCTTATTTTTGGCCCCTTATTCCTAAACGTTTGGGCAATTACCCCCAAACTCAATTCCAGCTTTCCCTTTGTGATATGGAACTGTGTAGTACAATTTCAGAAAGATCCATACACTTACATACAAGTTATTGTCATGAAACTAGAAAAATGCTTGTTTTTTGCCCCTTTTTTGGCCCCTAATTCCTAATATTTTGAGGCAATTACCCCCAAAATCAATCCTAGCATTTCCTGTGTGATATGGAACCTTGTGGTACAATGTCAGAGAGATCCATACACTTACACACAAGTTATGTCTGGAAGTTACAAAAATGCTTATTTTTGGCCCCTAATTCCTTAACTGTTGGTACAATAACCCCCAAAATCAATCCTAACCTTCCTTTTGTGGTATTGAACCTTATGGTAAAATTTCAAAGAGATCCATTCACTTAAACTAAAGTTAGAGTGCGAAAACCAATGTGTCTTTGGACGACGACGACTCCAACGTCATACCAATATACGACCGCAAAAAATTTGCGGTCGTATAAAAATAAGGAGATGTGGTATGATTGCCAATGAGACAACTCTCAAATGACACAGAAATTATTAACTATAGGTCACTGTCATGACTGTACAGCCTTCAACAATGAGTAAAACCCATACCATGTACATTGTATATGTATTTTCACACTTAAGCATTCTGCAGTAAAACATATATTTCAAATGTTTATCCTTTTCCTTTTTTGACAATAGCTACAGTACAACCTGTGACTTCCTCTTAGTTATGTCCACCCTCTTGTATGGTCACCATTGAAAGGTGGCCATTTATTGGGGTATTCAATCTTGAGATGTTGGCCATTTATTGGGGTCATAAAACATAGGTTAATGTTTTATCTAATTATGTTACCTGTTGAAATCAATCAGGATTGAAGTTTTCAGCTTGTATGTTTCATTAAAATTTACCTGTACAGGTAACTCAGGTTTCTTCTCAAATTGACATATCACCTTTTCTTTAAAATGTAGAATAGAATGTTGTTTTAGTCTTTGTTAATTCATATCATTTGTTGATTTTTCTGTCTTTAAATTTACATATTTTCCTTTTTTTTATAATGTTATTTTTTATTTGTTTTTTTGCTTCTTATTTTTTAAATTTTTTCTTGGAAAGAATCTTCAGTAAAAATGACAAAAATTCAACGATAAGTAAAGTTATTGACTAGCATTTGAAAACAAAACAGAGAATCCTTTAAATAATTATTTTTACAGTAAAAAAAGTTATTGTACATGATGTACATGGTATTCAATTGTTTGTTTGCATTAATAAATGAATTATTATTAATTATAACTTATAATCATGCAAATGATATGTTTAAAGGAACCATGAAGCAAGTAATTTAACAAGCCTGTTTCTTATTAAAATTATCAATCATGAATATCAATCCTTTTACAATAAATTTAGTTAACAAAGTTGTACAATCTATTTTCATGATTATTATTCAGGAAAACTAAAAATATCATTATATGGTATAGGAAAAAACTATTTTTGTTTATCTTTTATATTTTTCCAAATCTCAAAACTGGAGTTGTGCATGAAGAATCACTAGAGACTTAAATTTTCCAAATGGCTACCTAGTTATCATCAAATTTTGATATAGGCTAATCATAATGAAAAATGTTCTTATCTCTATATTGATCTGAATAAAGTAAATCTTTAAATTATTTAAAGAAAAAATTGTCTTGCTTTTTGAAACAATTGTAAACTTATCAAATATGTTATCTTCAGTTTGGCTAATTTTGTCAGTTAACAGGCAAAATTTGTCTCCAGAAAAAATAAAGTACACTTCTATATAGATTGTGACATTTTTATGGTCTATTAATTAAATCACTTTTTGATCTGTGTATCATATTGTCGAAACTGCAGGACTGGCATATGCATGATACATATTCTTGGTATACATTTGCAAAGAATATTTCACTCAACTCAGGCCTTTTAGATAACGTTAATAATTGCAGGGACATGAATGAATTAGATTCTATAAGCTCTGATTAAAAATGAATTTTTAGAAAAAAAAAAGAATATTTTAGAAAATAAAATAAAAACTTATGATGAAAACAGTAAACTCAAATGCTTCACTCAGTAAAGAATTAGTGGTCATAATTTAGAAATAGAAAATGGTGGATAAAAATTCCTATAAAGGATAGCATTGTTTGTAAAATTAACATAACAACTTACATGACTTAGAGATAATCTATTTGAAAATTGTTTACCTTCTCATAATTATGTCTCTGACCAGTTTATGAATAAAATCTTGAATTTTATGAATAAAATCTTAACCAAGAACAAAAAGTAAAAGAAATGCTTAACCTCTATAACATGGAACATGTTTAAAATATTGGCTCCTTTATAAAAAAAAAAGTCATTAGAACTGAGGGCAAAATAGAATAATTTTTTTCCATGTGTTTTGATTTCTTATAAAATTGTTATTTCTTTGCATTATAATGATTGCTTTTGGTTTTTTTTTGTCAGAAACTTGATTAAATTGTAATATGTTTATATGCCAACAAAAATATTATCCAATTTTTCTGTAATGAATATTTTCAATATACATGTATTTATTAAATGGAGAAATAATGAATAGCCTACATTTTATTTAGAATAAGTCCTAAAGATCATCTAAAACATTTGTTAAACTATGTTAAATGCAGTAAGTTTAAACAATTTTGATTTTAGAAAATTAATTTGAGAAACACC